GGGGGGGTGGGTTTATGTTGTTCAGTGAGGACTGGCCATTCACAGCAGCCGCCCACTCACCCCTGGCACACCCAGAAATACCTTCACACACCTCCATCAGACTGTTGCCCGCTCTCTCCACTGTGAAAGGGGAAGTGTTTGTTGAGGGTGTTTGCTCTGTCCTTGTTGGACTCAGTGTTCTGTGAATGTAGAAGACAGCAGCAGTTGAAATAAAGTTCACTCCTTGTTTCTTGTTGTACGGCTTTTTTTAATGATTTCCAATGTACGATGAGAACAGTAATAAACAAATGACATTCCTCAGGCTGATGGTTTGCTCATTGATGGGGGCTGTCACTCCGCAGTAAGATGTACATTTTACTGCCCATTCCCAGAAACACCCTGGAGAAGGTGGTGGGCAGCTGCCTCTGAAACCACCAGCTTCTGTGTGGGCAAGGCTCTGTGACAACTAGAATATAACTGCGTGGTTATCCTAACATCTCACAGGGCAGTGAAGAATATACCACATTGCTGACGGTCAGGAGTCATGTGTAGGAAGGACATATGTGGACATATTGTTCTTTTTTAAATATATGATAAACCATAGTTTGCATAGCCACCATTACCGAGACCAGCTTTTTATTCCTAATTTAGTTATCTACATTTAAATTTCTCTGGTTTCCTTGAGGGGGATTACAACTCTCGCCCTGTGGATTACGGACCCAGAAACATTCCCATTAAGGATCAATTACACAAGCTGGTGTCAAGCCTGTGAGTACCAGCCCTCATATATTTGACAAGCTGCAGGTCCCAGGCTTTAACCATTGAGGGTGCTTTAGCCAAGACAGATCAACACGCTCATCAGCCAACACCCTCCCAAAATGTCACTCCCCAACTAGCCCCCCACCAATCCTGTAATGTCACTGTCCCTTCTTTGTCTTTCAACATGGAAGAAGTTCATGCAGTCATTAACCATTTGCATCGAAATGGCTTCCACCTTCACAAAGTCACCTCTTTCTCAATATATCCAGTCAAGCCTCCTCAGAATCTTCTCTGTTTGAATAAGATCACCCATCATTCTTCTAAACTCTAATGAACAAAAACCCAACCTGTGTTAAAAAGTGAATCCCTTCGGCAGAGCCCAGTGAAACTTTGTTGAACTGTTTGTTGCCAGTACCTTCCTTTTTAAACGGAGAAGTTCTATTCCAACTGCAACCAGATCGTCCCTTCCAACGTTGTCCTCAACCCATCAGCCCCATGTGATGTCACTGGCCCAACCCCCCACCATGACATCACTGTCCCAACCAATGACATTGCTACTTAACCGCATGACATCACTGCCTCACCTCCTTATGATGTAACTGCCTCAACCCCCAATGACATCATTGTGTCAGCCTCAATGCCATCACCACCCCATTCCCCATGACATCACGGCCTCACCTCCTTATGATGTAACTGCCTCAGCCCCCAATGACATCATTGTGTCAGCCTCAATGACATCATCACCCTATTTCCCCATGACATCACTGTCCCTCCCCATGACATCAGGGCCCCTTTCCCTACAAGTGTCTGATTGACTCCCTCTCTGTCAGATTTCTCAAAATAATGCAGTCAAACTCCAGTAACATGCTGCAGCCTGGGTTGAGCTGAGACCTCCATGTGAAGGTGATACCTAGCTTGCAATTTACTTCCGGAATGATTGATTGTTTCACAATCAAACTGCTATCGAGCATGTGAGGAGGAGACACTCCCAAACCATTGGCTGCCTAAGGGCCTCGAGGAAGCAGGCGTGATGTGAGTGAGTCGGTCATGTCCCTGTGTACAGTCAGTGCCTCAGACTGCACTCCCCTGATCCACACGGACTCATGTAAACACCGCACAAAACTCTACAGGCGACAGTTTACAGACAGGAATATACAAGACGACAAGAACACACAGCGTTGTTGCCAGGGGCGCAGTCCCCCATTCCCACCCCACTGCCTCCCCACCAGCTGTGCCACCAATGGGTCCAGGTAAGAGGCAGCAGCCTGGCATTGCACCAGAGGAAGCTAAACAAATACACAAGGCATTCGAGTAACGTAAGCTTCACACTGAGCTGCTATCAAAGCTCTGACCCACTCCGTGACCTCCAAACATGTGTCCTTTATGTCCCATTGGCATGTTGTCACTCTCTTTCTCTCTCTTTCTCTCCCTCTCTCTCTGTGCATCCCTCCCTCCCTCTTTTGTGCTCTCTCTCCCTCTCTCCTCTTTTACTTGTTGCCATCGCAACCATTCACCTTGTCGTTGGAACAAGTTAGAGCCTCACTTGACAGAGGGTCAGGAGACTTTGGCGAGAGTTGAGCAGGGAGTCTGTTGCACGGAGACAGTGTGGAGCTGACCCTCAGTGTTCTCCTCCTCCTCTGCATCCTGTTCCCCCGGGCACCCAGGAGGCTGGAAATCCAGGGCATGTCCGTTCTGCTGGGGATCTTTCTCCATCACGTCATGGGAGCAGGTGTTCACCAGATCAAAAACACCACCATTGAGCTGAGCGCTCCCGCCCCCTCCATGGGTGGAGCTCCTCATGCACGGCGTTTGCAGCACCTGCTCCGGCTTCCTCAGGATGTGCTTCCTCAGAATCTTGCGGAAGGTCTGACGGAACTCTCGGATGCGGTACGCGTAAATGAGGGGGTTGACCACAGAGTTGGCGTGGGACAGGATGATGGCAAAGTACATGATCCAGGCTGGGGGACGACAGTTCTCACAGAAGAGGTTGACGCAGTTAATGATGTGCAGTGGCAGCCAGCAGACAGCGAAGAGACCCACAATGATGGCCAAAGACTTGGCAGCGTGCACCTCCTTCTGAAGGGTGGACCTGCTCTTCTCAATGGCTGTGACCTTAAACTCCATCTGCTTGAGTTGATGGCGAGCTGCCATGAAGATCCTCAAGTAAATGCCAAACATGATGAGCAAGGGCATCAAGACGCAGGCGAAGAAGTTATAATACACCATGTAATCCATGGTGACCACCTCCTCGAACAAGCAGGACACCATGCCATCCCTGCAGCCTTCAGTCCTGTTCAGCTTCATGGTGAGCTCACAGTTGGACTGATTCCAGCCCAGCATCGGGGTCAAGCCGATCATGAAGGACAGGATCCAGCAGACACAGATGATGCCCCTGGCCCGCTGGCCAGTCACCAGGCTGTTGTACCTGCAACGACAAGTGATTGGGCAGCTCAGCATCGGGCAAGCTTTGAAACCAGTGCAACTGAGTAATAAGATCAACCGCGGTTTCTTAACAACTGGAAATCGAACATTTTGTACCTCGCTGTTATGAGCTCTCCTTCTTGATGGATTGATACTCTCTGAAAGGTGCTGCTCCATTGTTGGGTGGTGTTAATAGTCACCAGGATGTGCCCTTGTACCCAGTGCCCCTTCCCCTGGATGTTTCCTAGCCTTGAGGGATGGGCTGGGAGGTGGGGGAAGGTGAGGCGAAGGCAGGGTCCAGATAGTGGTAAAGGAAGGCAACGTGTTTGACAAGAATGGGGGAGGGGTTGTGAGGGGTGCTGTTCTCTTGCTGCTCCATGCCATTGGCAGCAAAGGGCAAGTGACAGGATGGCTGTCCCACCCACAGGACAATGAAACCAGTTCAATGGCCAATCTTGCCCTAACAGATTTAGGCAAGTCCTTCGGCTTCCTGGGTTCAGGAACAGATGACCCTTCCAACTGGCACTCTCATGGAGGGCACCCTCCAATGCCTTCCATGCTAGGGCGTGCCTGACTGATCTTGGCCTGGGCTTCACTGACCTGGTTGAGAGGACAAGCACCTTCTCAGCCAGGCACAGTCCCAATGGTGACCACTGTTCTTGGTGGCACCAGTAAGACGGCTGTGCTGCCTACCCTCCAGTTGTTCAGCAGCTCTTGGAGGTGGGATCCCACAGGTCAATGAGACAGGAATCCAGGCGACAGCTCATTGGTCACGTTTGCACAGCAGCACATTGGACCATTAACCCCAGTAATAGGATCAGGAGTTACTTTCACAAACTTCTTCTGGGACTTGGATATTGGAACGCATTAAAATTCCCCAAAGATACCAAACACAGAGGTAGGGGAAAACAGTGAGGATTATAAGGATTAACTGCAACAGGACATAGAGAGGCTAACAAAATAGGCAAACATGTGGCAGAAGGATTAAGCCAAAAGAGTGAATTGGTGCAGCTTGGCAGAACTGACAGGGAGATCCAATATAGACTTAACAACATGGTTCTAAAGATGGCATAGGGTCAAAGAGATCTGGAGTTCCATGTGCACAGATCTTTACAGGGAGCAGGACATGGGGGAAAGTGGTGAGCAAAACATTTGGGATCTTGAGCTTCATAAATAGAGACACTGAATATAAAAGCAGAGACATTATGCTGAGCCTCCATGACCACACCTAGGGTATTTTTTTTAATCAAATAAAAACTGAAACAAGTTCTGATGAAGGGTCACCAGACCCGAAACGTTAACTCTGATTTATTCTCTTCACAGATGCTGCCAGGCCCACTGAGCTTTTCCAGCAACTTCTGTTTTTGTATTTTTTTTATTATTCATTCATGGGATGAGGACATCGCTGGCTTGGCCAACATTTATTGCCAATCCCTAATTTCCCAGACGGCAGTTTATGAGTCAACTGCATTGTTGTGGGTCTGGAGTCAGATGTAGGCCAGACATTAGAATCATAGAATCCCTACAGTGTGGAAGCGGGCCATTTGGCTCAAGTCCACACCAAACCTCTGAAGAGCAAACCCCCCCAGACCCACCTCATCTGTGTAACCCTGCATTTCCCATGACTAATCCAACTAGCCTGCACATCCCTGCACTATGGGAGGAAACCGGAGCACCCGGAGGAAACCCACGCAGGCATGGGGACAATGTGCAAACTCCACACCGACAGTCATCCAAGGGTAGAGTTGAACCTGGGTCTCTGGTGCTGTGGGACAGCAGTGCTAACCACTGAGCCACCAGGCCGCCACTTTAGTGAGCTACCAATTAATTCATGGTCATCATTACGCTCTTAATTCCAGATTTTTTAATTGAATTTCGTTTCCACGATCTGCTGTGGCAGGATTCAAACCCACGTCCCCAGGACAATACCTGAATCTCTGGATTAACAAAATAAAAACCAAAAGAACTGCGGAAGTTCTGAGGAAGAGTCACCGGACCCGAAACGTTAACTCTGTTTTTTCCTTCACAGATGCTGCCAGACCTGCTGAGCTTTTCCAGCAACTTTGTCTTTGTCTCTAGATTAACAGTCTAGCGAAAATACCACTAGGCCATCGCCTCCCCTAATTATATTAGAATAAGTATTATATCCATTATCAACATCCTGAGGGTTACCATTGACCAGGAACTCAACTGGACTAGTCATACAAATACAGTGGCTACACAGCAGGTCAGAGGCGAGGAATACTGCAGCAGCATTTATTGCAAAAGGACTGGATTATAAGAGTAAAAAGTGTTGTTACAATTATATAAGGCACTGGTGAGTCCACGCCTGGAGTACTGTGTCCAGTTTTGGTCTCCTTATTTGAGGAAGGATGTGGTGGCACTGGATGTAGTTCAGGGAAGGTTCTTCAAGTTGATTCCAGGGATGAAAGTGCTGTTGTATGATCAGAGGTTGAATAGCTTGGGCTTGTACTCACTGGAGTTGAGAAGAATGAAAGGGGATCTGATTGAGGGATATAAAATACTAAAGGGAATTGATAAGGTGGATGTTGAACAGTCTCATAGATATACAGTGAGAGGAGTGAGGTTCAAACCAAGATGAGGAGAAAGTACTTCTCTCGGAGAATTGTGAATCTGTGCAACTCACTGCCCCAGGGTGCGGTGGAGGCAGAATCAATCAACAGATTCAAGAAAGAAATAGCAAAAGGGAGCAGGAGAATGGAGTTGAGATCAGCCATGATCATGTTAAATGACAGAGCGGGCTCTAAGGGCTGAATTGCCTGCTCCTGCTCCTAATTCCTGTGTTCCTATGATTAACTCACCTCCTGATTCCTCAGAGCCTGTCCACCAGCTACAAGGCACAAGTCAGGAGTGTGATGGAATACTCCCCACTTGCCTGGATGTGTGCAGCCCCAACAACACTCAAGAAGCTTGGCACCATCCAGAACAAAGCAGCCCGCTTGACTGGCACTACATCCGCAAGCATACACTCCCTCCACCACTGATGCTCACTAGCAGCAGTGTATACAATCTACAAGATGCACTGCAGAAATTCATCAAATATCGTGAGACAGCACCTTCCAAACCCACGACCACTTCCATCTAGAAGGACAAGGGCTGCAGACATATGGAAACACCACCATGTGAAAGATCCCCTTCAAGCCACTCACTATCCTAACTTGGAAATATATTTGCGTTCCTTCATTGTTGCTGAGTCAAAATACTGGAACTCCCTTCATAAGGATTTTGTGGGTCAACCCATAGCAGGAGGACTGCAGCAGTTCATGAAGGCAGCTCACCACCACCTTCTCAAGGGCAACAAGGGACAGGATATAAATGCTGGCCAGTCAGTGACACCCATGTCCTCTGAAATGTTGTTCTGGTCACCACACTTTAGGGAGAATGTGGGGGTCCTTGAGATTCACCAGGATTGTTCTAGGGATGAGGGATCTTAGCTACAAGGTAATATTGGAGAAGCTGAGGTTGTTCTCCTTGGAGCAAGGAGGTTGTGGAGGGATTTGATTGAGGTGGACAAGGTGGTGACAGGTTTAGAAAAGACAGAAAGAAAAGCTGTTCCCTTTGGCTGGTGATTCAAGGACTGGATGTGGTACAGGTTTCAGATATACCATGGGAAGTGAAGAACAACCAAATCATTAGGCAACAAGGAGAGAAAAGGTCCATTTGTTTATTGGGATTGGCAAAGGGAGGACATGTCTCCCAGGACACTGGGAACATCAGTCATTCCAGATACTGTGAGAATCAATCATTCCACAAACTGGGAGGGTCAGTAAATCCAGACACTGGGAGGATCAGTAAATCTGGGCGTGAAGTGTGGGAGAGTGGACTGTAGTGTGGTGGGGTGGGCTGAAGGGTGGTGGAGTGGGCTGTAGCGTGGGAAGTAGGCTGTGGGGGGGGTGGGAGTAGGCTGTAGCGTGGGTAGGAGGCTGTAGTGTGGGGAGTGGGCTGTAGCACTGGCAGGGGTCTGTGGGTGGAGAGTGGACTATAGTGTGGGGAGTGGGCTGTAGTGTGGGGAATAGCCTGTAGTGTGGGGAGTAGGCTGTAGTGTGGGGAGTAGGCTGTAGTGTGGGTAGGGGGCTGTGGTTGGGGAGTGGGCTATAGCTTGGGGAGTGGGCTGTAGTGTGGGTAGGGGGCTGTGGGTGGTTTGTGGGCTGTAGTGTGGGGAGTGGGCTATAGTGTGGGAACACAGATAGCTCCTCTGTTGTTGCTCTGGCAGATTGATCTGAGGGGGTTATCCAGTGAGCTGTGACAGACTGTCCTTGACTGTCATTATGTTCTTGTGTTGGCAATCATTAGATTGATGAGTTTGACCTGTGACCTCCACTTGTCCCTCTCACACACCGAGAGCTAATTCCATTCCATTGGAGATGGCTGCAGGTACCCGAACAAGCAGAGCATTGGTTCATTGAGGACGATCCTCACATTTCTCTATAACAGCCTGCACCGAATCAAACTGGCTCATTGCTTTAAACCATAATCAGAAAATCACTTCCTCTTACCATTAGTGTTTTAAACCTCACTGTTAACTGCCACAAGCTGACTGGTTATTTTCAGCTGGAATAGATGTTGCTAAAGCTGTTGTTACGTTCTAATTATGAGTAATTTTTAAATCACCTTCAAGAGAATCCATGAACACTGAAGACATCATGAACAGTGTGAATAGCGAACAAGCAGTCAAAAACGATTTCACATCTTTGGGCGAGCATATCTGAAAAACACTGTTGGTTCCTCTAGATTTATACAATTCCACAAGGAGAAATTTGATTCATTTCCGATCACAAATAAGATTGGTTCATCTGAACAGCCCAATGTGTTTACCAGGCTGATTGTGTTCACACCAATAACCCCCAAAATCAAATTCTTCACACTAACAATGAGCAATTTCTCAAGTGTCACACACTGTTTCTCATTACCTGCATTGCTCCCCTGTATTATTGCACTGTCCTTTCTTCCTAAGTTTGTCTAGCTCACTTCACATAGGAACAT